CCCAAAACCCCAAAACCCCAAAACCCCAAAACCCCTTCGAACAGGGCTTCTGTTGAAACTACTTTACACAATGTTTGTACTGTTTGAGGATGCCTTCGAGCAGCTGCAGCGACCCCAGGCCAAGTTCTTGTTCACTAGGCGGTACAGAGGGTTCTTTGTGAAGTTCTCCAGAATGCTCATTCACACTTTCTGACTGAGGTTCATTGGCCATTGAAGATTTAGCCTCAATATGAGCTGACCCTTCGTCACTTCTAACATCGCTGTTGTAGTTGGCCATTTTGACGCTGTCTTTGGACTCTGCTTCACCAGAAGGGTCGTGTCTCTCGTAATTGCGAATGTCGATATTGTCTTTTTCTGTGGGGTCTCGGTCTTGTTCGTTGGTGGTGCCTCTGTGGTAAGGAGTGGCCTCATTCTTATAGGTTTCTTCGACAGTGGCTTCTTTGACGGTGTCCAAGTGACAGAGAGCTCGCACTCTGTGGTCAGGAGTGTGGTAGCTCTGTTTGCTCTGCTGAAGCATTTGCTCAGTTCTGTCTTTACAAGTATGGCCAAGTTCGTATTGCTGCAAATCTTGCGCATCGTCGTTGTCATAAAACTCATGGTCTGTGGTGCAGTTGTGGGTCTCATACTGTTTTTGTCTGATGATATCTTGAGAGTGGTCTCTTTGGTTAAACTCCACGTTTGGGCTGGTCTTGTGATTCTTCTGGAATGTTGCCCAAGTGTTGTTGGGCCACTCCATCGTCTTCTCGATCATTGAGATCCAGGTGTTGTTGTTGATCAGTAAGCATAAGTTGACGTTGAAACTCTTGGTCTCCAGCTCCGAACAGGTTTAAGGCATCTCTCGATGTCATTTGGTACTCGTTCTGAGTATTTCTGGCTGGGACCAAGTCAGACATGTTTCTGAGTTCATAAGACTTCTCATCACTAGCAAGGTTCAAGCTTCGTAGAAGGTTGTGAGCAGACTCGTCAATATCATACTCGAGTCTGCAAATGACTTCATCGTTTCTGGAACCATCTACCGAATCCACATACTTGAGGTCTCTGTTGGCCATTCTTCGCGGAGACAGCATTCTGGTCTTGACTTGCTTGGCTCTACTGGTTATGAGCCTGGACCGTTTGTTGATGCGAGGCCTGAACGTTGGCTCAGTGTCTTTTCGGAGTTTGTCCATCCTCTTGATTTTCCTGGGATCATCTGATTTGTTATTAGGAAGCTTCTTGAGAGTTTTGTTGGCAAGGTGTCTGCTCTTCTTGTTCACAGTAGGCTTGAAAGTCATTTCTGAATACTGCCGTTGCTTCTGGAGCTGATATTCTTGCTTGTTTCTATCATAAGCTTTACAGTAATCACCGATCTTCTTCATGTGAGCATGGTGGTTGTACTTTGAAGCTGATGTCATTTCAGCAACTTTGTGCAAAATGAGGTCTTCTTCGTGCTTATTTAAGGGCTTCTTTGTGCTGGAGCTCTCTTTTCAACTTGTCAAGTTTGGACTGCTTTGAACTCTCGATGCTGTCAAGTCTTTGTTGGTGGTAGATCGGAAGATACTCCATTGACACTCCTAGACTGTGCTTGCTTGTGTTCATTGATTTGATGATGCTCTTTGACTTGTGGCTGATACGAGGATGAAATGACAGTGAACTCATGATCTCATGTACCATTTGGGTTTGCCTGTTATTTCTTGTTCAGATCGTAGAGTTGGCCTCACTTGTGAAGTCTGCTGATCATGGAGTCAAGTTCGAGCTTTGACAGACTCTTCTTGATAGAGCCGTCGTTCACAGAGAAGTCCATCTTTCACTTGTCATGTCTCTTCATGAACTCGAAATCTGGGTTGAACTCTGGAACTTGCGACTTTGCAGATTTATGGTGTCCGGAGAATTGCTTTCGTGATGGCGCAATCACGTGTAAGCTTTCGATTCGTTTGTGCCCTTTGTTGTGGTAGGTATGGTTGTCATTGTAAATGCCAGTGATGGGTTGACTAGCTTTATTAGGGTGCTCTTGTTGATGTTTTCTGATCTCAGAATCTATACAAGTGGGTAGTAAAAATCCTTGCAAGCATTAAAGTACAAATATACAGGTGTAAAATATGTGAATACCTCTGCTTTCATCAGCAACTGCTTTAGAGATCTCTTCAACCAGAGGCCACATGTTCTGGAGCATATTATCATCCTCGCAATCCTTTCCAGGCTCTTTTTGCTTCTCTTCAGTATACAGCAGAGGGTTTGCAAGGTCAATTTCCGAATCTCGGTCACTTTCCTACAAATAATCAATCTTCTACCCCTAACACCCAACACCAGCCTTCTACTCCCAATAAACTACCTTCTGACCATCCCTTATCATGTTTTCCCCACTACTTTCCATATTTAGTCCCTCTCTTGCAAAAATATTTTTCAATAAAATCATAAATAAAAGGGGTTTTGGGGTTTTGGGGTTTTGGGGTTTTGGGG